GTCACTTTGTTCCTGGCACTAAGCACGAGTGTCACTTCTCTGCAGAAACAGAGCAGGTATGCAGGGCCTGACAGGTCAAGTGCTAGAGATGGTCTGGCTCGCTTCAAGGGCAGCCTCTGGTGTTTCTGCATATCCACTGGTCTTGGGCAAATGGGGGAAGGTGCCAGGCAGGCCTGTACTGGAGGTTTTCCCTGCCTTGTGCATCTGATTTTAATAAATAACTCTTGTGTTTTCCCTGATGAGCAGTAAAGTTCCCTGGCCAGGCCTGTGGCAGCCGGTCACATCTTATTCACTCTATAGTTAAACCTTGCCGTCATCCCTGCTTTATAGAGAAAGTAGCGGCTTATGAGCCTGAGTAATTCAGATGTTTGTCTTTCCTCTTACTTTTGTTGATGACAGACAGGTCTTGGTGCACGGTGCTTCATTAGCCCCTTTCCCCAGCCGGTGGTAAGGCACTCTCACCTTGTGTCTGTCGTGTCACCTTTTGTCCTGTTCCTCTTGTTCGACTGATACAGCAGAGCTGTTTTAGCAAGGCACTGCTAGACATAAGCCCATGAAACTGCTTCCAGCATTGCTGGAGTGTTAGAAATAAGCTGCTGAGCTCGATATTCAGCTAACCAGCACAAGCATGTAGTGCAGTAGCAAGCAGGGCCGGGCAGGTAGGTAGGGCACAGCACAACACTTGGGTGCCAACAGGCATGGAAGATGCACAAGCTGCAACTGGGCTTGCATGGCCTGAGATTCCTGCTTGCTGCAGGGATGGGTCAGAGCACTCGGGGAGATCCACAGTGCCCAGCTCTGATCGAGCTCCAGGCCTCTGCGTGCCGTCAGCTCTGGGGAAACGGCGTGGGGAGCAGCACTCCCATTCCCTGTGGCATACTTACGCCCCCTCGACCTCATCCTGCGTGGTAGTGGTGAGAATGGCTGGGCACAGGAGGAGGGTGAGTTCCAGGTTTTACACCGAGCAGGGCCACGCTGAGGTGTGAATCCCTGCGGTCTTGGCAACAGCTTCCCCTGGTCCCCCTTGCCTGGAGAGGACAGCCGTGCCCAGCAGCGTGGGTGCCCAGCGTCACAGGGACCTGGCAGGGAGGTGGAGCTGTGGCAGAGCAGCCAGGGCAGCTGAGGCCCTCTGCATAAGGAGCTGTTTGTTTTGCTGAATTGTTAAGCCCCATTGACAATAGCAGCCCCCCCTCCTCTCACACTCGAGGAACTGTGGTGGCCACACACTGATCCTTTCTCTTGTCTTGCACTTTAGGCACCGAATTAGGGTTATTCTTCCCCGAATCCCTCTGACTGGCTGTTGCCTTTCGTTCTCACTCTCTGCAGGCATACGAGTGGGCATTGGAAGGGATGCGACACCTTGCCTGCATCAGCATGGAGGACTGCAGCTCCGCCGAACACTGTGCAGGTGTGATCAAGTGCCTGGAGAGTTACAAGGGGCAGCACCCAGACATCAGCGATGCCCGGTTCCAGGAGATGAAGGAGCTGGCCTGTGAGCTGAAAAGTGACAAGGGACTCAAGCAGTGGAAATTTGCATGGTCCAAATGCCAGGAGACCAAGCTGGTTTTTGAAAAGAAACTCGAAGCAGCCTTGAGAACGAGGAGGTCTCTGCTGTCAGACCGCAAACCAGCTGCAGGGGAGCAGCCCCGGGCTGGCAGCGAGGCTGGCAGCCTGTCCCACCGCAGGCACTCCGAGGGGGCCACCTCCGGGTCCCCCTGGGACAGGACTTACAGCGCGTCCCACTGCTACAACAGGCCCAACTGCTCTCCGGGGTGGACTAAGGAGAAAAATCCCTCGCCCTCCCTGAGCTGCCCTGGTGATGTCAGAGCTGGGGAAGAATTTGCCTGCCAAGCTGCTCTCAGCCCTGGTCCTCACTCGAGCAGAGTTTCTTTTGCCAGCGGCGCCTCCAAATCTCCAAAGCTGCCTGAAGAAAAACCAAACCTGGACAGCATATTAGAAACCCTGGAGGTGAAACCATCCTGCACATCCACTCCAGCCTCTGGGAAGCTGCCTCCCAGGAGGATGCTCCGGAAGGCCCAGAGCTTTGACCTCCCGTGCGGTGAGAGCCTGTGGTCAGGCTGCCAGAGGACGCTGAGCGAGCCGGCTAGATACGGCAACACCGGCGTCTTTATTAAAGGGCTGGAGGTGAGCAGCACCGAGCTGGTGGACAGGACTTTCGCTCTGCGGCAGCAAGCCGCTCACAGCTGGGCTGCGGACTGCCTGCTGGAGGGACAGAGGGGCTGCCTCTCCGTGTCAGAAGCCAAGAGCTGGGGCAGGTAAGTGGCTGTGACGCTCGGTGCTCCGGTCCTCAGGGTGGTTAAAAAGGCAGCCGCAAAGATGTGAAGAGCTCTGCAGTGACAGTTACTTTGGCAATGGGTACAGGGCGGATAGATGGAGATGCAGCTCCAGCTTCCCTGCACGTGTGTGTGGCGCTGAGCGGGCCCACAGGGATGTCCCCACGCAGCCTGGCACCTGCCTCTGGGGACGGGCAGGGAAATGGGATCTGTTGCTCTTCCCCCACAGCATGGTCCCTCCGTGAGAGGGGAAAGAGCCATTCCTGGGCAGAGGGAGTCTCTGACCATTGCTGGCATTGGAGGACGAGGGTTTGCAGAAACATAGTAATCAGGGACCTGGCAAACCAGTGGTACAGGTGCAGTGGGAGAGCAGAAGCACAGTGCATCATCCCACATGCGTTTGTGGGGGTGCTGTACCTGGGCTGGTAGGGAAGCACTTGCAGTACCCTGTGACAGCAGCTTCACAGGTAAGAAGGTGTTTGTATTTGCCCTTTGGGGCTGAGATCTTTGTTTGAGTGACCAACAGCTCTTGTTCTCTTCTTTTCCTTCTCTCTCCTTGAGGATCTCAGCTTAACTTTGTTGTCACACTGTAACGTGCCTAGGCTATGGAGAGCCCAGGGATGTGAGCTGTTCTTGAAAGGGAGTCACCAGACAGGTCTTTCAGATGCTCTCATCAGAGAAGACTTTTAAAAAATTAAATAAAATAGTGGTAGAGGTGAGGAAACTTAGCACTGGATATGGGGGGATCACAGAGCTCCTCCACTGCTTCTGCTCTGGATGGGGATGGCTGACCCTCTGGAAGGGGCCTCTGATATTCTAGCAAGTGTCAGAAAAGCTCATGGCCGGGGATGAACCCCAGCAGATAGGAGGCTAACCGCTTTGCTTCTTGTGGGAGCGATGCAGCAGCCCTCCCATTCATGGGCACTGAGGAAGTCCTGCTGTCCTCCGTCTTCTGAACATCCAGAGGAGTTGGCTTGGGGGAAAGCTGAGAGGCAGGGAAGGCAGGCACACGCTGGAGCAGTTTTGTTTGGTGCTGCACTGCCTCGCAGTGGAAACCTCGAGTACCTAAGAGTGATCCTTTTGGAGGCATGTGGAGCAACCCATGCTAGGAACTGCTATTTGCTGATGAAATGATTCAAGGTTTGTTTCCCACTCTCATTTTTACTGGGGCGAGCCCAACAGCACCTGGGTCCGGAGCTCATGTTCTCCCAGGGTTAACATTGTCTCCCGCAGCATCCAGTCATCAGGCTGACTCCTCCTCGCAGAAGTTATCGTGACTTCTGCTGTCCCTGTTGTTTCAGGAGCGCAGCCATTTGCAGGGCAGCCTGTTGTGTCCAGAGCAGGGGCAGGCTGGACCCCCAGGGGTGTGTGTGCTGTGGAGGTTGTGTCAGGACCACAGCCAACCTGGGGCTCACCCTTCCTGAACAGAAAAGCTGACAGAGTTCCTTGGATCAGCCATGAGTTTCGTCAATGCTCAGGGTCTGAGTTATCACGGACAGTTGTGAACCTGAGCTTGGATGGTGCTAAGGAATCCTCTCATCTCCGTGTTGGGCCTTAGGGAGAACTTCTGTAGGGATAGTCTGGTGCTTTGCAGGTGCTCTGACTGCTGTGGCCCTGCTGCAGTCTGGGTCCCTTCAAGGCTGTTTCCTATCGCAGCAAGCTGCGGCACATCATTGATGAGATGGTAACCACAGAGCGGGAATATGTGAGGTCGCTTTGCTACATCATCGATAGCTACTTCCCTGAGATGGAGCGCCTCGACCTCCCCCAGGACCTGCGTGGGAAGCGCAGCGTCATTTTTGGGAACCTGGAGAAACTCTACGACTTCCACAGCCAGTACTTCTTGCGAGAGCTCGAGAGCTGCTGCAACCACCCACTGCGGGTCAGCCACTGCTTCCTCCGACACGTAAGGCATCAGCACCTTCCCCTGGGGGTTGGACTCCTCCAGACATGTTTGGCTCCTATGCCCAGCAGTGCCTGGCTGCTCACCTGCATGTTAGTGGGCTGTGGTCCTTTTCGTGAGGGGCAGAACTCCTACTCTGTGCTGGGTTGGTTTGTCCCCTGCCAGCTTAAATGCTGGTTTGAAATGGGATGGCTCTGCAAGGCTGAGCCCAGGCAGCAGTGGATGCTCTTTGCCTTTCCTGTTGTTCTTTGCTACCGAGAGACACTGCCAGGGAAGCAAAATGTCTGCTTCTTGAAGCCCACTTGCTTCTGCAGGGGCATTCCT